GGCCTTTGCACAGAAATGGATGTGTGGAAGGTGCTGTGGGAGGGCAGGATTAGACATGCACTTTGGTTCGGTGGCATCTCATTCGTTTCTTGTTTCCAAACTTTTCCATCCCTTCTCCTTATTGTAAAGGGATGAGCTCGTTCTGGACTTAGACAGCTTTTGGGTGCCAGTGCTCGAAATCAGAGAAAGGAAAACAGGAAGATAATTGAATGGTGCTCCACGTGTCACTTGTTAACTGTGGGGTTCCAGCTTATGGGTTTCTAAGGAATGCATGAAATCAAAATAAAAACAGTAATAATTAAAAAAACTAAGGAACTCTCAAGGGAAGAGGAGAGAAGGAGAAAGAGGCACTCAAATGCCATTTCCAGGACTCCACACTATGGATGTTGGCTACTGATAACTGGAAATACAACAACTTGTGAAATCCTTTTGGGTTGTGAACTCTGTGACTGAGTTGCCTTTTCAAAGCCTCAGGAACCTTGTTGGAGGTGACTTGAATTCACCTGTTTGCACCTTGTTTGAGTGCTGCTGGGGTGGCAGGTCCTGCCTTCTCCTGCTGCTGGGAGAGCCCTGCCGAGCTCCGGGCTCTGCCCCTCCTGCTGTAAGCAGGGTTGAGCTGGTGCTTTTTAGGACAAGAGGGGGAAATTGCTTAGACCAACTGAAAATGGGCTAAAATCTCCTGTTGTGTTGGTTTGTCCCTGTGCCTGGCTGGCTGGGGAGTGCAAAGCCCTGCAGATGGCAGCTCCCTGGCGGGAGAGCTTTCCTCTCACAGATCCTGCTCCCAAGCGTGGCCCGTGAGTCCTGAGCTGACCCCTTTTCTGTGGGAGATGGTGGATCGAAGCCTCTTTGGCTCTTGGCAGGTCAGCAAGGCACCCAGCTGTGCTCGTGGCCCCTTTCACCTCTGCAATGAGGCCATCAGCCTGCCGAGGAGAGGAGTGAGCAGCAGACAGGGTTCTGCCTGGGTTTGTGGTCCTTGGTAACAGAGGCCAGATCGGCAGCTGAGAAAAAGAAGGAATTTATCCTCTCAGATAAATTTGCAATGAGCAAATTAAGACTGTTTTCTTTTGGAGTGAGTAAATGCTGTTGTATTTAGGGAGTGCTAAACCAGAGGGGGATTTGGGGGTGGGGGGGAAGCCCAAGAAGTATGGAAAAAACCACTGAGCTACAAAGAGAACTCGAGCTGGGAAACAGGGTTATTTGTTTTAATGGGCACCCACTGGAGACCGAATGGCTGCTGTGAATTTTCTGCTCTGCAGGACGAGAAGCGTTGGCTGTTGGGAAATGTTAGATGGCAAAGCAGACTTTCCCCTCATTTCTCTGAATCCTTGTGTTTGGCTGCTCTGAGCTCAGCCGCTGTTCAGGCTGGGGGGGCTGTGTGGTGGTGTTTGTTGAAGCAGTGGTTTGCAGTATTGTGTTTGGCTTCTCTGGGCACAGCAGCATTATCTAATAGAGGTTCCTGTGACAGACCCTGCCCTGCTGTAGCTCTTCAAAGCTTGGGGTCACAGCGAAACCACATCCCCCCCTGAAGGATGTGGGACGTGGCCCTTGTTTGCTGTAAGTACTGAGTGCAGGGGGGACCTCCCCACCCCACGGGTGGCTTTGTGCAATGGAGCTGTGTCTTGTGCTCGGTGTCTGCTGATGGAAACCAAAGCTGAGCAAAGGACAGCATGAGACCAGCTCTCCTGCCTGCCCTGGGGCACCCTGTGCCTTTCCCAGGTGGTGCCTGTAATCCCCACAGCATGCCCAGGTTGTGATCCTCACGGAGAGGCCCCAGGAGTCCTGGGAAGGGATCTGAGGAGTCCTTGCTCCTTCTGAAGCAGGGGAAGGCTTCCCATCAGCTCACTGCAGCCTCCCAGCCTTGCCCTTGTCTTTAAAGCAGCTTGTTCAGCACAGCCAGGAGTGATGGGTGACAACTGGAGGTGTGACAGTTACACTGTCTCTGCCTCCCTCCCAGTGTGTAACAAAACACAGAAGTGAGAGCAGAGGCTTTGATCTGCTCATCGGGTATTTATCGCGGGGAGTTTGGTTTATCTGGAAGTCTCATAGCCAAATTAGTCCTGGAAAACTCTTCCCTCTAGCGTTCAGCTGGGCTCGTGCTGCAGCTCGCACGCAAAACAGAGCAGCTTTGTGGTTTTATGGAAATATAAAGCAGCCAGAGGGGGGTAGGACTGGGGTCACCCCACGGGCTCCCACCTCCCTGCAGAGCTGTTTGCCCAGCTGCTGCTCACCTGCTTATTTTTCCTTCCTCCTTTCTCTCTGCCGCAGGTGAACATCATCCCCATTATTGCCAAAGCAGACACCATCTCCAAGAGCGAATTGCACAAGTTCAAGATAAAGATAATGAGTGAGCTGGTCAGCAATGGTGTGCAGATCTACCAGTTCCCCACGGACGACGAAGCGGTGGCTGAGATCAACTCTGTGATGAACGTGAGTAACACTGCCCATCGTGATGCCCACAGAAGTTGTGACAAATTAAATCACTGCACAAAAATGCATTTGAAGGGCAACTTTCAGTGGAATTGTCCAGATGCTAAATCTGTTTGAAAGTTGAGCTGTGGATCTGACAGATGCCCAAGGCTATTGTGTACAGAATTAATTAAAACGTGGCTCTCGTTTAATCCGTGGGCTCTCTGGAGAAACTCAGCTCAGCTCCAAAATTCATCTTACTGAATTTTTGAAAAATACTTTCTTCGAAATTCATTCTGTCTGCTTTTAGAGTACTTCTCATTTGAGTAAGGAGAAATTATGAATAAAAATTTTACAGTTAAGATTGACATTAGCCTTCTGACTTAAGGAGGCTAAACAGAGAAAACCCAATTTAAAACAAAGAAGAAAAACTGTCAGACTCTATTCTGTCTGTTTTGAAATTCAAAGATTAAATTCAGACCTGGTGGTTGGACCATCTCCTCCAACCCTCTGCCAGAGCAGGTCCACCCAGAGCAGGTCGCACAGGAACGTGTCCAGGCAGGTTTTGAATGTCTCCAGAGAAGGAAACTCCACACCCTCTCTGGGCAGCCTCTTCCAGGGCTCTGGCACCCTCAGAGTACAGAATTGTGATCTCAGCTCTGTTGCAGGCCCATCTGCCCTTCGCCGTGGTCGGCAGCACGGAGGAGGTGAAGGTTGGGAACAAGCTGGTGAGAGCCCGGCAGTACCCGTGGGGAGTGGTGCAAGGTAAGGTGCCCACCACAAACCTCCCTCGTGTGTGGACACGTCTGCATGAAGGTCCTAAACCATGCAGGAATGTCCTCTGCAGCCTTTTGAGGGCTGGCCAGTCTTTTCTTGGAATTCCCATTCCTACCAGCAGGTTGTAATGGTCAAGTGGAATCCCTGCATCCAGGGGGTCGTGTTGTGCCCTGTGCGGGACAACGGGTAGAGGGTCCTTGGGAGGGGAGTCTCTGGAGTGAATCTGTGTGTGCCTTTGTGCTCCCCCCACCATGTCTGCATTTTGCTGATGTCTCCCTTTGCTTCTCTCAGTGGAGAATGAAAGTCACTGTGACTTTGTGAAACTGCGGGAGATGCTGATTCGAGTCAACATGGAGGATCTTCGGGAGCAGACTCACACCCGCCACTACGAGCTCTACAGGAGGTGCAAACTGGAGGAGATGGGCTTTAAGGACACGGATCCAGACAGCCAGCCCTTCAGGTGAGGGGCCTTCATATCTAGCATCAATTTAGGGCAGTAGTTTGGTACTGACACCCCAAAAATGGGAGGTTTTAGGTGGTATCCGCAATGCTGGACTAGAAAATACTTTGCAGCTGCCTCTGGTGGCATTCCCTTCCCTTCCTTTCCCTACCTGTTTGTCTTTAAACATCACACAGGGGCCTGCGTTTCCCCATCTCTAACTCTTCAGTGTCCAAAGAGTCTGGATTTTGTTTGCTTTCTTCCCCAGCCTCCAAGAAACATACGAGACCAAAAGGAAAGAGTTCTTGGGCGAGCTCCAGAAGAAAGAGGAGGAAATGAGACAAATGTTTGTTAACAAAGTCAAGGAGACAGAGGCAGAGCTGAAGGAGAAGGAGAGAGAGGTGGGTGTGCCAAAAACCTGTGAGAGGAGCCCAAAAATACAGCTGGTGTAGGGTTTTGGAATGGGCAACCTATGAATCCTGGAAAGCACATGCAGCTCCTGAGCAGACCCCACCAGGCAAAGCACAAACACACTCAGGGCAGGGGACACAGGGTAATGTTTTCAAAACAGCATCACTGGTTTAGGTGCCTCAGGGACAACAGTCTCCCCAGTTCTGTGCAGTGTGTAGGAGATTCAGCTGCTGCCCAGGGAGTGAAGGGCAATGTGGGACATTTTGGTGAGCATCCACGTTGGGTAGACTTTGCCCTGGAGGCTCACTGGAGAGCAGAATAAAGGGGGCAGCTGGGCTGGAGTCCCCCAGGTTGGTGGTGTGAGCCCACCAGCAGCTGCCATGACTGGGGAGGAAATAAATGGAGCACCTTCAAAGCCAGCAAAGAGCAAAAGAGGCCTCGATGCCCACAGCCCATGGTGGGGCTGCAGACGGAGCCAAGGGCCTCACTGTCCTTCTCCAGGGCTCAGGCTTCCTCCCGTTTGATACGTGGTGTCGGGCAGAGCTGAATTGACTCTATCTTCACTCTTTTGGTGAAAAGGCCATGATTGCCCCGAGGTCAGCTCTGCTGGGGGGGTTGCAGGGTGCAGGGGCACTGGCCGGTGTCCATGGGGTGGAGGGGATTCGTGCAGGAGGTGGGATGGTGGCGCCGGGGAAGGTGCAGCCCCAGGGTCCCGCTGCAGGTGATGCTCAGAGGGTCTGTCTCCTCCCAGCTGCACGAGAAATTTGAGCACTTAAAAAGGATACACCAGGAAGAGAAAAGGAAGGTGGAGGAGAAGAGGAGGGAGCTGGAGGAAGAGATGAACGCTTTCAACAGGCGGAAAGTAGCGGTGGAAACCTTGCAGTCCCAATCCTTGCAGGCTACCTCACAGCAGCCGCTGAAGAAGGACAAAGACAAGAAAAAGTAAGTGACTGAACTGGAGTCTTTCTCCTCTGCCACTGGGTGTCTGCTCAGGTGCTTTGATGTCTGCTCCGTTGCTTGGTCAGCAAACGGAAAA